AGCACGCGAACACCGCAGTACTCTTCTTCCTCGCGAGCTCATGGAGCCGCTGGATGGCGAACAGCATGTCGAGCGTCGACCGGTGTGGGCGGAAACCGCTCTGTTCCTCCGGGAGGATGCCCTCACGCTCGCAGTAGTGACTCAGTCGTGTAGCGACAACCTTAAGCAGCACCTTGCCGGCGTGTGCGACGAGCGAGATGCCCCGGTAGTTGCCGCACTCCATCGTGTCCCCCTTCTTGAACAGCACTTTGATGGTGGCATCCTTCCACTGCTGTGGTACGTCCCCAGTCTGCCACACGTCCACGACAATGGCGTGGAATTCGCGGAGGAGACCTTGATCTCCGTCCAGGAAAAGCTTGATCAGCTCAGCCGGTAGGTCGTCCGGCCCGACGGCCTTTCTGTTGGCCATTTCCCGTACCGCTTCCTCAACCTCAAGTAGAAATGGGATGTCGTCGAGTGTCACGCACATGGGCCACCGCTTGACCTTGTCAGCCGCATGCAGGTCGATGGTCGGCGACTTGGTGTTGAGAAGCTTGTGGAACCACCGTGCCCACCGTTGGCGAATAAACGTGGGGTCCCGAAGGACCTTGCCGTCCTCGTCCTTGATGTTCTGAGAGGTGAACGGCCTCTTACCTTCGACGTCGATCATCATGCGGTGTCTGTAGAAACCCGCCTGATCCCTCTCGCGGCTCTTCTTCTCGAGCTGCCGTACATAGCCCTCGAAGAACGTTTCCAGTGCTCTCCACCTCGCGATGCTGCGCTTCTTCCGCGCCGCCTTGAGCATCGCCTTCAGGGTCGCCTCGAAGGCGCTGTTCTTTGAGGCCCCACGCAGTTGCTGCTGGGCCGCCGTAATCTCTTCAGACGCTTCAGAAATCTCGTGCTGCGCTTCGCTCGTGTACCAGCCTCTCTGCCCTCGTGCGCATCTCGCCAGCGGCGCGGTCTCAGCAGCGGCCGACATCACCGTAGCCGTCAGCTCGGCGGCGGTCTCTCCCGTTGGCCGCCTGAGCGCCGTGGGTGTAGGGCAGCTGGAGGCCCTATTTCGGAAGGCGACCCGTGGGTGTTTGTCCTTCGTTAATCGCTCGAGGTCGATACGGATCCGGCTGCTTCCGCTGTTCCCCCGCACTCGTCGGTTGGGTGCGACACGGGGGGGGAGGCGGACAGTCGTAAGCACGAGGTTGTGGTCAGAGTCTTTGAAGTCGACACGTTTGACGGAGACATTGCGCACGAAACGCCGGTCCGCCTGACGCATGAGGATGAAGTCGAGGCGGTACTTCTCCTTTCCCTTGTTGGAGCTCTGGAATGTGTGCTGCACTCCACCTTTCGGTGTCCGGAAGTAGTTGTTGGTCAGGGAGAGTTAGTTGTCTGATGCTAGTCCAACCAAGGAGTCGTTCCCCGTTGTTTTTCATAATGTCGCGGCCGCACGCGCCCATAATCTTGGCATCGCAGCACCCGTCTCGCCTCCTACCAGTGCGTGCGTTGGCGTCCATTAGCACCACGAGATGGTCACGGCTGTGAACCTCCCGGATCGCTGCGTCGAGAGCAGTCCAGAAGGAGTCCTTGGCGTTGACATCACCGCCCGCGGTGGTGCGGACAGTTTCCGTGGGGGCGTACCCTACCACAAAAGTTACTCCGCAGGTGCGGCCAATTTGTAGACGCGCCTTCATCAGCCTCGGGCGAATGCACTCCACCGTCCTACCTTCCTCGCCCACACTTTCCCACATGACCTCCTTGATCGCTATGCCCACACCGTGTACGCCCCTCTTGTCCTTGGTGCCAGCACGGGCGCCACTCCAAATGATCACGTACCCGTCGTGTGCAATTGANGGTGCCAGCACGGGCGCCACTGCAGATGATGACGTACCCGTCGTGTGCAATTGAACCTTGCCCCTCTCGTCGGGCCTCCTGAAGTCCTATCACATAGCAACTGGTCGCAGAACAAATCTGCATGACCGTCATGACGTTGTGACCGATGGGGTTCCTACCTCTGTAGGCGAGCGTGCGTACGCTGAACGTGCCGAACGATGGGTCGCCCTCTCGTGCCTTGTTCTTCGCGGCCGCCTTGACGGCCGCTGCGGTGTCGTGTCTCTCTCGGTCCACCTCGCGTTGCGGGTGTGCTTTCTTCCGTATTGCCCGAGCGGCGAATTTCCTCGCATCAATCCATCTCTGCAGAGCTCGGTTCTTCTCGCCTGTAGTTTTGGTTTGTTTGGTTTGGTTTTCTCCCATCATTGGACTCTGTCGTTTGCCCCTCTGGCCCCTGTCCTCCACTTCTATCAGCTAGCCGACCCAACCGGGGTCACATAGGAGGGACGGGTTGGACCCCCTCCTGCGGTTCCTGCCTGAGATATTTTTATCGCGAGANCTCGCCTGTAGTTTTGGTTTGTTTGGTTTGGTTTTCTCCCATCATTGGACTCTGTCGTTTGCCCCTCTGGCCCCTGTCCTCCACTTCTATCAGCTAGCCGACCCAACCGGGGTCACATAGGAGGGACGGGTTGGACCCCCTCCTGCGGTTCCTGCCTGAGATATTTTTATCGCGAGAAGGGTACAGCAATCCCTTCCCTCGCGACTTATGAAGTCGATCAAGTTTACTAACAACGAACCTTTGCAGCGCGTCGCTTCCAACGGAGACCAGGATGAAATTAGCGAGAAAAAACTCACTCTGTCGGGACTCGAACCCATGACCTATAGTGTGCATACATGATGAGTCAGCGTGCAGAGGACCGAGCACCATGCCTTTTCTTGAACTGAATATCCACAGCGTAGACTCACAGTACATATTGCTGTTGAATCCCGGGTACATGGAGATGGAGATGACATGTTGTGTAGATACATCGGTGTGTGCAGCCGTCTTCTTTCCTCTTTTTTTGTCTTCACTTCAAATCAGCGCTCACGGCACTATAATAGTGCCGTTTACTCCAAACCGTTGTCACACAGAAGAGCCTTTCTCTACCCTCCCCTCCTGCGGTACTTTGCCTTTTATTTGTAATGCAATAAGAGTTCAACACTCTCTTCCCTCTGTGTACACACGAGCTCGCTATCCACAAGACCAGGAGCGGAAGCGATAGAAATATTCACTTGCCAAGAAAAGCTCGCTTCCGCCGGGATTCGAACCCCAGACCTGACTTCTATTGTGTAGAAGGTTGCGAGGATACCAACTAGAAGACCACCGGGGCGACCGGCTTGCGATGGTTGAATACACTTGCTAATCTCCAAAGAAAATACAAAAAAGCGGCCCTGTCCACGCGCCAACAACTTCACACTCCACAAACGTCTGGTGCTGCTGTATAGATCGTAAACCGTCAGTTCGGTGTGCTCAGCGTGGTTTTTGCAGTCGACGCCCAGCAGTTCACGATGCTGAGCGAGAGGGCCTCCTCGGTGCTGGCAGTGTGCTGTATCTCTCTTGCTCTGTTGGCAGCAGCACAAGACGCGTGTACGGTCGGGACGGTGCAAGACAACTGCGTGTCGGCGACAAGCGGAGACAACATCGATGAGGTGCGTGTTGGTTACCCGACTTGCATGTTTAGCAGGTTCGATGATCGCGGCATCGCGCTCTGGTATTGTTGCTCTGTTGGTGAACTTCGTGATGCGGGCACCTCACATAAAATGCGTGGCGGCTCTGCCTATCGTCCACACCAACAACACGCCCGCACTGCTGTTCTAGCCATCAGGGATATGTCACAGCAATCTTCTCCCGCTGCTTGCTGTGCTATGTCAGTTCTTTTTTTGTACGGATCGGTACAGCTGGGAGTGGTCTCAGGACGCGGAGCAGCTCCCAGTCCAAGCGAGCGACTCCCTCTGTCTGACATTGGACAGCAGTGTCGTCGATGGTCTCGACCAAAGTGAGCCACGGCAGCGACATCAGTTTTTTTTGGTTGGTTGCTGAGCGCTTTTTCCCTTCGCGCACCTTTCACCAGGGGGAGCACTTGAACACAAGTGCGACGTGTCATATCGACACACGGGTAGCGTTGCATCCATCACACATAACTTCTTCTGCGGTGCTGTCGTTGGCTGACAGTTGAGGCACTACACGCATGCTCTGGCTGACAGAGAACTAAGCGTTGTTGCTGTAAGCTTGGCGGCTTGTTGGTGTCGTGTTTCACCTGTAGACCAGATCACCTGTGCTGCTCTTGTAGATAAAAATAAATAACACGAAATTTGTGTAGTTGACTGCAGCAGTCTTCACATGTTGCGTTCCGAGTCTCCGCTACACACGTGGCATAGCAACGGCATCAGCAACGGCATCAGCGACAGCAGTTACTTGCCATAAGGACGATCCTCTGGAAGAACTGCCCCCCCCCAGCCCGCTACCAGCAGCATGTGTGCCATTCCCCACACCCTTTGTCGCGTGCGTTGTGTTTGATGGATCTATCGTCACTGCTGGCTCTGTTTGCGTCACGCAGCTGAGCTTCTAGTCTTGGGTGGATGCGACGCGGAATTCCAGGAAGTGGCTGGTGACTGCAGCTCTCTTTCGAGCAGCACTCGCACCTACGATCCTTTCCTGGTGAGCGAGGAGCTAAAAGAAGAAAGAGCATGCCCGCCGCGTATTGTATTACCGATCGATACTTGTACGTACATGGTGGAGAAGTGAAGCCTCTGCACCATACGCGGCGCGGTCATCCGCAAGAAAACTCATCGTGAGATGAACTAATTTTTTTGAAAATACAGCAGCGCACGTAGACCGAATAAGGATCACATGTGCGTTCTTTCGTACTTCGAAATAATCAGAAAAGAATACAGGAGATGGGTTGAAGTATTCATTCACCCCACAGGACAGCGCCTTGGGTTGTTGCTGTTGTTGTTGTTGTTGTTTCTCGCATTAGTCTATAGTCCACAACAAATGGGTGGGAACGGCCGGACAATAAGCTGCTGCTGCACTGTCCTTGAACGGGGGGGAGCGACGACGAATACTACTGCTGCAACATCATATTCTCATGAGTAAGCAATAAGGGAGCAGGGAAGGTGCGCGGACCGTCATGCGGGCTCTCTTGTTTGTATAGGACAGCCCGTCGCCCTTCCCTGGAACGTTCGCGTATGTTTTGCTTTAGTCTATCTGTAATATATTGGTGCGAGCGTGTTCTCAGATTCTCACAATGTGTGCTCGGCAAGTAAATAGTATCTATGGTAGATTCTTTGGAAGGCCTCCTCTTTTGCTTTTCATGCACCCTCCACGGAACTTGTTGTTGTTGTTTCTCACATTAGCTCTAAAAAAAATTTTGTGTAGCATTAGGAAAAATAAATGCACACACAGAAAGACTACCCGTTCGAGCTTCAGTAAAAGTCCCTGTTGAGTGCCGGTTGCCGGTATGGTGCCGGTGTTTTCGGCTCGCACACATCCGGTCGCCCGTTGGTCTAGTGGGTAGCCTCGCAGCCTGCTAAGGACCAGGTCATGGGTTCGAGTCCCGGCAACGAGAGTTTTTTTCTCACTAAACAAATCCTGGTCTAGGATGAAAGCGACGCGCTGCAAAGCTCGTTTGGTAGTAAACCATAATCGACTTCGTAAGTCGCGAGGGAAGGGATTGCTGTACCCTTCTCGCGATAAAAATATCTCAGGCAGGAACCGCAGGAGGGGGCCCAACCCCCCCCTCCTATGTGACCCCGGTTGGGTCGTCTAGTAGAAGTGGAGGATAGGGGCCAGAGGGGCAGACGACAGAGTCCAATGATGGGAGAAAAACAAACAAAAAAAAACACTGGAATATCAAGTCGTTCTGTACTTTGAATACTGTAGTGCCGGTGAAATTTTTGTGCACACCCCGGCACTAAACAGGGACCTCTACTGTATACCCACATTCGAACGGCATGTGGTGGAGTCTTTTCAGTGAGTGGAGGAAAACCGGCCAATACTGGACTTATTTCGAGCCTATTTAAGTCGATTTACTAATGATTTAAATCAGTTATACCAGCTGGTGCTAAGTCCAAGGATCTGTAAAGGTAGCCTACATTTTGCAGCGAGGAGTGGCCAAAATCGGGTACACCCGGTCCGTATCCGGCCATAATCGGGTACACTGGTTATACACAGCCGACAGCGCCCTCCTGGCGCTATCTGATTGGCCGACGACCGCTCCTACCCGGTCCTGACTAAATTCCCGCCGGGTGCACCCGATATTGGCTACTCCCCCCCCCGAGGGGTACCCGATCGTACTCTCGCCTACCCGAAAATGGCTGGGCTATTCGACCAACAGACACTAGCAGACCACGCTCACGAACACACGCCAGCAACGCCCCGCACTCGAATTCCGACGCTTCCGACGGCGGGCGGAGGCGGACCAAACCCAACAACCAACAACCCACCGCCCGCGGCGGAACCAACCAAACCCAACAACAACCCACCGCCCGCGGCGGAACCAACCAAACCCAACAACCCACCGCCGGCGGCGGATTTCTCCGTTCTTGTTTCGTTTCGGAGAGAGAAGGCCATCCATGCAGGCGGGCGGGAAGCGGTGAATATGAGGGGCGGAAGGAAAGGTGGATGGATGGTGGATGGATGCCGTCATGCCGTCATCACGTGAGATGCACACAAACAAGACTCCACAAGCAAACACATTGGCGCAGCTCGGCGCAGCTCAGATGTGCACCACACTAATTATGCATGCCGGGACGCAGCAATTTGCAGCAGCAGCAAGCAGCAAGTAGCATGCCGCTGGACGTCCGATTGCACAGCGAGAACACTTCGTAGACTCTTACTCTACAGCAGTCTCAACACTTCGATTGCCCAGCGATAACACTTAGACTCTAACCCTTCTTACTTATCGAAACACGTCGAAGAGACAAGGGACGCGAGGGCATCTGTGATAGATGGATGGGTAGGAAAAGACAGACAGAGAGAGGCTGGCAGGTAGCATGATGGTTCAGGGGTATGATGAGGTCAAATGTTGAATGATGACGAACGGCATGTTTGGATGTATGCACGCGTCTGCGACGGGCACGAAAGCTTGATCGCATGTATAGACAAGACGACGTGCTTGCTTGCTCGCTCGCCTACATGAAGTCTGGACTATAGACGCCTTGCTTGCTCACTGCTTGCTCACTTGTTTGTGTTCTCTGCCGCTTTGCGCGCGTCAGGCTATGTCTGTGACCGTGACTACAATGAATGTGTTGCGGTCGGTCATTGTCAACCCTGAAAGAAGTTGGTCGTACTTCGTCGTGTATTACGTGCGTGGCGCTATCTAAAAGTATGTGCGCAAANCCGCAACCTGCAAAGATTGGTTTCCAAACTTCTTGTCGTATGATGATGCAGTTTGCAGATGAAGTTCTTTTCCCCTCCTCAATGACCACGCCTCCTGCGACTTGCAACGATTCATATACAAGTATCGCTGTCCCTGTTCCAGGTGGTTGTTCTGTGTTCCAGTAGGCAGACGATGTCAGATTTTGGTCTGCATGATGCCGGATCAAGCATTTTCGGTCATCCTGCGGTGTAGTCTGCAGATGCCATCCTTGAAGTTTTCCTCCCTCAACTTAGTGACACCCCCTGCGACAAGCAAAGGTTCCTTTCCCAAGCTGCTTGGCTTGTGGTGCGGTTTGCAGATGACGTACGTTCCATTCCTCAACATCATCCCACCACCTGCGACCTGCAACGAATTATCAACGAGCTTTTCGTGTTCCACGTACTGTAGTCGGTATGCGATCCAGGTAGTAGTCCTTCTGCGTTCCAGGTAGCGTCTGTTCCAGTAGGCAAACGATGTCAACTTTTGGTCCTCATGATGCCGGAATTAGCCTTTTCGTTCGTCCTGCGGTGTAGTCTGCAGATCTTGTCCTTGAGGGTTTCCCCGTCAACGTAATGACGCCCCCTGCAATCTGGAAACAATTACTTCCCACGACTCCTGTCTTGTGGTACGGTTTGCAGATGGCATTATTTCCCTTCGTCCACATCATCACGCCACCTGCGACCTGCAACAGTTTATATACTACAGGGTCGTTCTGCGTTGTTTCGGGTAGTAGTCGGTTTGCGTTCCAGGTAGTCGGTTTGCCTTGCAGGTAGTCGGTCTGAGTTCCCGGTAGTGGTCCTGTGTTCTAGCAGGCAGAGTGTGCCTTTTAGCTTTCTCAACATGACCAACGTAGATGGAGCTTGTGGTTCGTCTTGGGGTGTAGTTGATGTCCATGAGGGTTTCCTTCCTCAACGTCATGACGCCGCCCACGACCTACAAATGTTCATCTCGAAGCTGCTTGTCCTTGTGGAGCAGTTTGCAGATGATGTCCTTTTCCTTTCTTCAACATCATCACGCCACCGCGATCTGGAACGGGTGTTTTACTAGAAGATTCTCAGTTTGCATTCCAGGCAGTTGTCGGTCTGCGTTCCAGGTAGTTGTCGGTCTGCGTTCCAGAGAGTAGTCGTTGCGTATCAGATGGTGGTTTTTTATTCTAGCAGGCGCACGTTGCGTTTTGTTTCCTCGTAGTGCCAGATGGAGCTTTGCGTTCGTCCTGCGGTGTAGTCTGCAGATTATTCTATGTCCTTGATGTTTCCTTCCTCCACGTTGTTTTGCCCCCTGCAACCTGCAAAGATGGTGTCCAAGCCTCTTGTCTTGTGATGATGCAGTTTGCAGATGGCTTTCGTTCCCTTCCACAACATGATCACGCCTCCTGCGACCTGCAACGGTCAATATACAAGCTTCACTGTCCGCGTTCCTGGTAGTGGTTCTGTGCTCCAGTAGGCAGACGATGTCAATTTTCGGTCCTCATGAGGCCAGATGAAGCCTTTCGTTCGTCCTGCGGTGTAGTGTGCAGATACCGTCCTTGAGGTTTTCCTTCCTCAACGTAATGACCCCCCGTGCACCCTGGAAATAACGAGTTCCCACGACTCCTGTCTTGTGGTGCGGTTTGCAGATGACATCATTGCCCTTCTTCAACATCATCACGCCCCCTGCGACGTGCAGTGGTTTATGTACTACAGGAGGTGGTCGTTCTGCGTTCCAGGTAGTTAATAGTCGGTTTGCGTTCCAGGTAGTCTAGTCGGTTTGGGTTTCAGGTAGTCGGTTTGCGTTACAGGTAGTCGTCCTGCGTTCCAGGTAGACAGTCTGCGGTCCAGGTAGTCGGTCTGAGTTCCAGGCAATGGTCCTGTGTTCCAGTAGGCAGATTATGTCTTTTCATGCCCAAATCGGATGGAGCTTGCGGTTCGTCTTGCGGTGTAGTTGATGTCCCTGAGGTGGTCCTTCCTCAACGTTAGGACGCCGCCTGCGACCTGCAATGGTTCGTCTCGAAGTTGCTCGTCTTGTGGTGTAGTTTGCAGATGACGTCCTTTTCCCTTCCTCAACATGCACACGTCTCCTGCAACCTGCAACGATTGATATCCAAGCTACGGGTTCCGCGTTTCAGGAAGAGGTTCTGTGCCTAAGTGGGCAGACGATGTTTGTCCTCATGATGCCGGATGAAGCTTGTCGTTGGTCCTGCGGTGTAGTCTGCAGATGCTGTACTTTCAACTTCCCTTCATGAACATGAGGACGCCGCGTGCGACGTGCAAAGATACGTTTCCCAAGCTCCTTGCATTTGGTGCAGTATGATGGCGTCATTTGTCCTTCCTCAACAAAATCAAGCCTCCTGCGACCTGCAACGATTTATTTACGAGCTTCTCGTCTTGAGCTCCAGGTAGCGATTCTTCTGTGTACCAGTCGGCAGACGATGCCGATTCTTGTTCAGCATGATGAAGCAGTCTGCAGATGATGTCTTCAAGTAAAGTATGCCATCCTCAGCGTTTTGACGCCTCCTTCTGTCGAAAGGAATGATCTCCAGTCTCCATGGGGTTGAACCTTCTCGTCCTGTGTGCAGGCGGCAGAATGTGCGCTTCCCTGCCTTCGGTTCTCCTTTGCAGTGCTAAATTGCCCTCCACACATCTTTCGGGGCTCTCAAATTGTCTTAATCTCTCACTCATCCCCCACACACTCACATATGATTTGCGCACATCGACCGTTCACCTACCTGTAGTCTGAGGAGAGTTGTTTTCTTTCTATTGTTTTGCCTTTTCTCCGAGTAGTTTTTGCCGGGAATGCCCTGCACCCGTCGACCATTTTTCGGGAAAAGGCGGTTTCGCTTTTTTTGGCGACCACGAGGTGGACAAAACCAGAACATGCCGGATACAGTTAGGCGGCAAGGCCATACGGCGGTCTTTGTTTGGTGGCAAGAGGTTGTTTTGCGCTTTTCGGCGAATAAGTCGTTTTTTGACGGAGAGGGTGAAGAAACCATCAGTGTTAAGCCGAAATTTGAAGACTTGTGCTCGACTTGAACTATTTCTAACGATCATTCGCTTCGATAGTTGGTATCCCGTCCGGGTTGAAGTCGATTAAATGTGACCAGCTGAAAGCTGAAAACCGCGATTGGACAGAATGTGTTGTGCACGATCTGTATCTCGGCGATTCGTGTGTGGATTGACTTCATGGCACTACGTGCCCATTCTCCGGGAAACAAATTTATTTCCGGTTACATTGGAGGGATGGAGTGTTCCCAACACGCGAGTCTATTTTCTGTCGACCTTCTGCTGGACTTAATTCGTTCGTGAAGAAAATACCTGACCTGAATATCTCAACCGATTTCATGAGATAATCAGATTAATGTAGGACGAGGACAATTCCGGTGACGTTGTCCGCCCCTCCTTCGGAAGACTACGGGACGTTTTTTCTGTTCGTACGCAAATCAAGGACCAATCTTCCAGATCCCAATAGTCTAGACATCATTTTCCGAATGATAATGACGAGGCTATTTTTCAAAACTCGAATGGCNGAGCTCCAGGTAGCGATTCTTCTGTGTACCAGTCGGCAGACGATGCCGATTCTTGTTCAGCATGATGAAGCAGTTTGCAGATGATGTCTTCAAGTAAAGTATGCCATCCTCAGCGTATTGACGCCTCCTTCTGTCGAAAGGAATGATCTCCAGTCTCCATGGGGTTGAACCTTCTCGTCCTGTGTGCAGGCGGCAGAATGTGCGCTTCCCTGCCTTCGGTTCTCCTTTGCAGTGCTAAATTGCCCTCCACACATCTTTCGGGGCTCTCAAATTGTCTTAATCTCTCACTCATCCCCCACACACTCACATATGATTTGCGCACATCGACCGTTCACCTACCTGTAGTCTGAGGAGAGTTGTTTTCTTTCTATTGTTTTGCCTTTTCTCCGAGTAGTTTTTGCCGGGAATGCCCTGCACCCGTCGACCATTTTTCGGGAAAAGGCGGTTTCGCTTTTTTTGGCGACCACGAGGTGGACAAAACCAGAACATGCCGGATACAGTTAGGCGGCAAGGCCATACGGCGGTCTTTGTTTGGTGGCAAGAGGTTGTTTTGCGCTTTTCGGCGAATAAGTCGTTTTTTGACGGAGAGGGTGAAGAAACCATCAGTGTTAAGCCGAAATTTGAAGACTTGTGCTCGACTTGAACTATTTCTAACGATCATTCGCTTCGATAGTTGGTATCCCGTCCGGGTTGAAGTCGATTAAATGTGACCAGCTGAAAGCTGAAAACCGCGATTGGACAGAATGTGTTGTGCACGATCTGTATCTCGGCGATTCGTGTGTGGATTGACTTCATGGCACTACGTGCCCATTCTCCGGGAAACAAATTTATTTCCGGTTACATTGGAGGGATGGAGTGTTCCCAACACGCGAGTCTATTTTCTGTCGACCTTCTGCTGGACTTAATTCGTTCGTGAAGAAAATACCTGACCTGAATATCTCAACCGATTTCATGAGATAATCAGATTAATGTAGGACGAGGACAATTCCGGTGACGTTGTCCGCCCCTCCTTCGGAAGACTACGGGACGTTTTTTCTGTTCGTACGCAAATCAAGGACCAATCTTCCAGATCCCAATAGTCTAGACATCATCTTCCGAATGATAATGACGAGGCTATTTTTCAAAACTCGAATGGCTGCATTTGTTTTCGAGGGCTGCAATTTTTCGAGCGTTGCCATTGACAATCGCCTGGTTTGTGTGAAAAC